ATCACAGATAGTATCACAGATACATCGTATTCTCTCTCCCCCCCCCCCCCCCCCATTTAGTTGCAGTTATTAGTATCCTATTCTCTTACTATGTGCTTCCATATTCTTTACTATGTTCTTCCATAGCCACTTCTAGGCTAAGCCTTCGCCGTCATTTTATTGGGTCGTCATCCCGTTTGAATGTGCGAAGTGAAAATAAAAACCAACCAGCCAACCAACCTCGCTTACCCGGTCCTCTTTTATCCGGAACCCTTGCCATCCGGAAGTAAGTCGTTGTTTACCGATTTACAGCATATCCCATGCACACGTACAATATGTGTGTTCGATTATCCGATTCCCTTGCCTATCCGGAATTTTTTGCTGAAGACGGTTGTGGCGGTTATGCTAAGTCTGACTGGTCTGACGGAGTCATGTGCCGTAATAGATGACTTGCACAAAGATCCGAGCCGCAAGTGAGACGGGGCAACCATCAGCTAGTTCAGTACAGACTGTGTACCCAGGCTACCGTGACTGCGAGCACGCTGCACTGTCTGTAGTGTACTTTTTTGTCAGCATGACTGAACATTACACGGCATGTACATTGTATATGTGCGCGAATGGATGTTGGGACATTGTCAAACGGGCAATCATGCCCAATGTTATGATGACGATGGGAAGGGAGAAACGATTTTAAAAGAACAAGATTAGATAACCTGGATTAAGGGGAGTAAAGAAAACAGTGAGTCTAGGAATCTCTCCTTAGATCATCCTAACATAGATCATGAAAGTAAACTTTCAATGGACGTGAGAATTGAGATGTGCTAGGGCACGACAACTAGAGGGGAATGCTAGGCTGTGAGATTCCGAAGTACATATATTTTTGTTTGTTTTATGTATTGCAATGCAAATCCAACGGACAATCATCCCCAAACGAATAAAATGTAGGATAACCTGGATAGGTGGAGTAAAGAAAACAGTGGGCCTAGAGAACTCTCGCTCGGGATAGGGAACATCCTAGCATTACCCATGAGGGTATACTTTCAATAAGCTTTAAAGAGGGGGGGGGCAAAATATTCCAAAACTTAGCAGCATTCGCCCAACACATTTATATTACACGTTTGCGGGAGGTAAGCAAACCACCTGATTGTGTTTGAAAAATGTAGTGCGTTCTTGAGTGCGGGCGAGTTGCCTGCAAACGTGTAATGAAGCTGCGGGAGGCGTCCATCTGGATTTTCCTCAGTCTGTCCCACCAGGAAATCGCGATTCCACGGATGCAACAAATTTCGGGTTTCTGGCCCAAACCCGCGATTTTATTTATTTATTATTTATTTATTTATTTATTTCTGCATCTCGTGGCATGTTTCAGCAAAATCCGCGATTTCCCACGTTTTTATGTTCTTTTCTGCACTACAGTGTATATCTCACATTTCTATGCACTTTTCACGCAGTGCTTTCCATGATCCTGTAGGTTATTTGCACAGCACGACTCGTACTAATCCCGAGTAGATATACGATGCAACAAATTTCGTGATTTTGGCCCAAATCCGCAATTTTCTGCAAATACTTCCGCGAATTCCTGGCAAGCTCTGCATCATTCCGCACTTTTCGTCGCATTTTTTGTTGTTTTCTGCCGCAATTTCTTGCCAAGTTTTCGAGAGTTTTTTTCCGCAAATTCCCGCAGGGGCAGCTCAGTATTGTCACAATAATAAATCCAGTGGAGTGGCGGCCCACCCTTACCTTCGGATGGTTGCGATAGCTGTGCACTGTGCAACCGATTCTCTCAACTTGCTTCCTCCAGGTATCATGGCCTGTGATACCCTCTGTGAATTTGTGAAACACCAGTGGCCGGCCACGCGAAAATGAGAATGCATGCAGCCAAGATTAGGCCATCATCTCCTTCATCCATGATCGTAGTGGTTCTAATTCCGCCCGTCGAATATCCAACATCAGTCCCCAGGAAAGAGAAGGAATGAGACGTCAGGGGCTACGCCAATTTGGAAATAATGTCATGTAGAATAAAAATAATTTGAAGTTCAAAGTCGACTCTGTAGATCAGCACACATGTGACACGTACAGTCTTTGGGTCGGGCTTGGCGCGCTTCGCATTTGCTGCAGCGCCACTTTTTCCGCAACTGTTCGTTGTTTTGGAAGAGATCGCAACTTTCGCAACTTTCTACATTTTCGCGAACTACGTCGCAACTTTTCCGCAACCCTGGCCCAATGGCATGGCCGTCAAAAGGTCAAGTCACAGACTACATGTCGGACAAAATGCATACTCGTTCATTTATCGTGTGCCATCAAACTCATTTCAGAGAAACAGTAGATCTACACTTGTTGGGTTATGTACATGTACATTACCTTTTGCGTGCACTGAAGTGATGGAGGATGCGTGCAACAGGCTGCTTGCACTGTTGTGTAAAGTTGTAGTTCACAGCAGGAATGGGGTGAACAGTTTGATGTCTCTGCACTTCTGCTATATCTTTCTTGGTAGTTTTGGACTCTCTCACTTCAAGTTGCGATTTGGGAAAGTTTTGAGCTTTTCCGAAGATATGGATCCGATTTCAGCAACTTGCACTGGTTTTGGAAAGGTTTCGAAAAGCATAAGTTGCGAAAAACTATAGCATCTTTGGGAAAGGGCTACTCTTCATCAGTGTCTATCGTCACTCAAGGAATTAGACAAGATCAAAGAGCATTATTTTGATGTATGAACAGCGAACAACAACAGTAAATACCTCTGAAGATGATACTACTTCGAAGTAAGACCTACATGTATGTGTTATGTTCCACACCCTTGGACAGAATGACTCGAGCCTTTCCCCACTCCGTCATCCCAATTTGGAACCAGCTGCCTACCTCTATCATTCCCCACCCATTTCACCCAACGAACATCCAAAAGTTCAAGACAGCAGCTTATCACCATCTCCTCAGAACGAACTGGCACTGGGCCACTCATAGCACACGCGAGTAAGAGGGTACAGTGTCCTACCCTGCTTGGACATACATGTAATCTCTCCTCACGGGCAGTCTCCTCTTGAATTTAAAAGTCTAACAGCGTTCACATCAATACTCAACTTATTCTTTTGCTCACTGAGCAATACAATCTTTCCATTTTCTTTCTTCTGTTTTCTTTTTCAATTTAATCCTCCCCACCCAATATCCCTTTGGTGCGTCCATGGAGCTATGAAGCCGAGACTTCTGGTCGGCGGAGCTTAATGGGCCCCACCACCACACTCCATCATTCACCCCAGTGTCTGGAGATATGTGGATTTTGTTGAAAAAAAGAGAAAAAAACTCGACACACATAAGGAAAGTGCCTTATGTACTAGGCCTTGACAGATTATGCTAATATTTTCGTGAAATTATGCTTTTCGCATTGCTGAAAAAATTGCAGAATTATGCTCAAACTTATCATAATTATAAGGGGCCGGTCACACTGAGGGAAAATTTGAAAAAATCCATGGTTACCATGGATAGTGGCCGCTGAGCGGGAGATTTGAGAAATTTAATCCACTCGATGAAAATCAGTTCGAGGCCCCGCTTTTCCGCCGAAGATTATAATCATCCGCGGCTTCCACTGGATTTCTTTGAGTTTCCTTGTTTTTCTTTTGCGTTCTGCAGTGGAGCGATACTAGAGGCTGTGCTGATGCAGCTCTGGCCCAGGCGCGGGGCTTACAGACTGCCAGAAGCCAATGGTGACAAAAAATTGCTCGCGTGAGAGAGATTTTTTCATTGTGCGTATGCAGTGCGGCCGTGATGAAAAGCAGATATAATTATTCCCGGTTTATAATATGAGGATTGTTCCCTCAATGTGACCGGCCCCTTATGCCGCATTATGCTCACATATGCTGCTAATGATGGTTCTGTGCAAAATAACAGGGGAATTTTTTTGTAGAGGGCGTTTGTACTGTAGTAGCAAAAGTTCAACGGGGTCAACGAACCGTCCGACCTAGCTACGACCGTCACTGATTGTAGTGGATGGGACATGTTGTCAAGGGAGTCGTAAACCTACGACTTCCTGGTGCATCTACTTGTACTTGTACTTGTAGAACATGTACAACTGTATGGAATTTGGTGCGAACAGGCGGATTATTCCAATTTAAGCGATTCGTATGCAATTTGCCTCGAATTATGCGATTATTCGATTTTGGTACGAATTATGCGAAAAATTATGCTAGCATAATCTGTCAAGGTCTATTATATTTATGTACAGACCACATATTAGCGCTACAGACTACATGTACATAGCGCTAGCTAACTGAGCGTGCCAATTGTATAATGTGATACAATTGATCCATGTACTCTGAAGTACATACAACATCACACCACTATACACGTAATAAAATAATACAAATCGCGAGCGCCACCAAAACGAGGAAAATAAGTGACAAGTTTGCTAATGAGCTGACAACAAGAGTTATTTAAAAAAGCTTATGCTCTTCCCTGCATCTATTCCGTAATTCAGTACTTTCATTTCTAGGGTACCCTGTAAGAAGGCCTTAGGCCTGTGGGGATTGCCCTATCAAAAACATTTGATAAAAAAGGGGAAGTTAAGCCTAAATCAAAATTTCACCAGTTCGTCTTTGGGCTGCTGAGTCGAATGGTATTGGTCTGAGGAAGCTGAGATGCTCCGTTCCACCTTTATTCCCAATGGAACTCGCGCACTTCCACCGAAACTGGATGACTGCGCCCTACTAGATGGGGATTTGTATGCAAAATGTCACTAAAAGCCCCATTTCGTTCTTAAAAAAGCACGAATGATGCAATTGGCCCATATGTTGTAGTCTTTCGGACACTGAGTCGACTAGTTTGGTCCGACACAGCTGTGATGCAACGTTCGGCCTGTATTCCCAATCGAACATAGTTGAGTAAGCAATCACGTGCTCATGCGTGCACAAGTCACCTGGTGACCGTGCCTGGGGGGCTACAACCTTCACACCAAGGTTCAACTCGAGTTCAACTCGAGTGCCAGGAACGGGCCCCTTTAAAATGCTACAGTATCGAAACAGTCCAGTGACACTTACAGTACTTGCAGTTTGGTGGCATTCTGGAACTGATCCTCTCCGACGAATGAATAGTGATTGGATCGTAGATCGCTAAGGCCACGAAATGAAGAAGAAACATAGCATTGCATACGTAAGGAATGACAAAATGTTACGAGTTGTTACTAACACTGACTGTCAACCAAAGAAACTCAGATCATGCACAGTCCGAGAGTTCGACAACAAAACACAAACTGACAAACAGCACTGAGCCAGTCAACGACGTGACACCTAGCTCTAACACATCTACCTGGCGCAAACCAACAACCTTCTGGCTTAGAGACTGCTTCTTCCATTCCCGTTAGCTTTCCATTCTCATTTCGTTGTAATTATTTACACTCCTTCCGCATGTATGCATGCTGTGTATGGTGATCTGTATCATGAACAGCTAGTACTCTGAACACTATCCCCCTTTAAGGAACACAATTCATTTGCCATCCAACTACACCTCCTTATTCTACCTCTTGCACTGTACTCTGAATACAGCAGGGAGTCGTATTTGACTCCCTGCATTTATTCTGAAAATATGAAGCTGGCCACGTTTCCCCTCAGTTCTTGGTTAGTCCAGAAGGAATGAGTTTGATTTGTAGTGTCGACTGGAGCTGCTAGTATGCTTCCTGTTACACACACACACACACACACACACACACACACACACACACGCACACACACACACACACACACACACACACACACACACACACACACACACACCACATCGTTGAACGATGATAACCAACAGTCAAGCCCTCCGTTGGCGATCCAAGCCAAAAATTGAAGTAGTTGCCTAAGCTGAAGTGATAGTGTATTTAATAGTATCATTACAGTATCATTAGAATTATGGACAAGTGCAGAGTAGAGTGATCTCACAGAAAAATGAGGTTAGGAAATCGTCCATAGTCCTGGGCAATGGATAGTCCCGTGTCCTGGAGGGTTCTGTGCAGGAGGATTCAAAATAAAAGTAATCATAATTGTTACTATGGAAAATAACAAGATAGTTGCAGCGCGACATCGGCGGTAGTTTTAGACATGTAGGGAAGTTGGTTGCTTCCCCCACTCTGCGAGTTTTCACCCATGGTAATGGTTTGGCCTGGAGATTACGAATTTGGTGCTCTTCAGACACAATGTTCCCCAGCATACTCAAGCGCAGCTGATGACGCGGGAATTCCCCAACTGTGTAGTGGGCAGGGAGTAGTGCTTGCTTGTAAGCATGCTGAGTAGAAGGTTTGATGGACATCGCCTGTGCTCTGTATGGCAGTCGCGAGTCAGTCAAGTGTTAATGAAACTAGCTCCGGCGTGGAGAGGAAACACTTTTCCTATAAAATTATCGCCCCTTCAAACGTACAGAGACGCTCCGTTTCCAGCGTGGCAAACACCAGAGAGAAGCGTTAGTCAGTGCCACTAATGCCATATTAATGGGTGGGTAGAAAAGGCGTCGCGGACTCTTGTTCATTTGCAGCGCTGCCTCTCCAAACCAGCCCCATGTAGTTGCAAGGAATCACCAGTACATAATGGAGGTGGTGGTGTCTTAGGCCATAATTTATTTGGCGGAAAATCGCAGGGTGGATGGGAAGAAAGCAACTTCCCTACATTATTTTGAAACCGTTTTACCTCTTTGATTGCATTCGCACCGGACCACTTCTTCGATGAGGACCGAGTTGGCTACGAACATTCTTTGCTTACCTATTCATCGGCTCATCACTTCTTTTACAGGTTTGGAATTCTGGAAAGGTTGGAAACCCCTTCGATAAGCGAAAGCCGTTGGGGAATTTTAGGGCACAATTCTCCACATACATTGAGTTCAGTCCATAACGGGTTAAACAATAAAATCACAAAACATACATTACAAATTACATAAGGAAAAGGTGCTTGGCGTTCCTAGCTGTTTCCCAATGGCTGGCTCGAAACCAGTTGGCTCGTACTGACTGTCTTGTGCTTCCTTTGGAAGCTTTTTTATCGCATAGTTCTCACTCCTTTTCTTTCCAGCTTCTTGACAACATTGTTGGAGCCGACTGAAAGTTGGACTGCTGAATTGTCGGTGTTTACAACAGCGTTTAACGCTTTTCTTGCCATGATAGCTATGCGCCCACCAGAGTGACGTGGTCAGCCAAGCGTGTTAATAAGGCAACATTTTCTCCCAAAATTGTCTTCCCACCAGAGATTGGCTCTCTGATTTCTACCAAAAACGAAAAAGTCAAAAGTAGTATAAAACACTTTAAGAATGAAAGCGTGAAAAGGGAAGATAGCAACTATGAAAGTGGTCCTTTACCAACGATGCATGTAAAGGATCACTTTCATGGTTGCTATCTTCTTCCCTTTTCATATCGTGTTTGACACATGTATATGTAAGTCATTCAAGCACCCCCCCCCCCCCCCCCCCGCGTGGGAATTTCTTTGGCTACGACTGTACATTGTTTGTTTGGAGCTCAGGGAAATCATGCTGTAGCATACTTTGGGTTAATTTTGGGAGCCTCAATTTCACGTTCTCACCCATGTCTTATCATTATAAATGTAGAGACAAAATCGAAATACACTGTCATCAACGGGAGCCAAACTATTGCATAATACAGATCACCTCTGTTGGCAGTTCCCCTCTCATTTTTTACATTTCCTTTTACAAGATTCGTAGGTGACAAGAAAACAACTAATCTGCTTGTGTGCTCCAACCCTTGGAAACGCCCTGTTGCTGGACTGCCTGGAAACCATAAACAATACCCGCACCAAACATAACTCTGTGTTGCAAAACAACTATTGTATTGAACGATTGAAGTCTTACAGATTTGTGGTAGAGGTTTGAAATACGGTCAAACTCGGCAATGGTACGTTTTTGCACGTCACAGAAATGCTGGTGCATGTACAGCCAGGATAGCATGTTGCGAATGCTGTCGCGCAGAATATTGCCACGCTTGCGAAAGCAAACACTGGCAGACGACTCTGGACAAGACAGAGAACATACACATAGGTATGCAGAACACGTTAGATCGCTTGAGCTGCAAGATGAAGGCTATTGGTTTGCAACACCGCTGGTGATTTGTTTATACTATCGCGCGAGCCAACAGCTTGGGACTACCGCTACCTTTTAGCATTATGTCTCCCTAGTTCTTTTCGAGAAACTCTTGTTTGACTGGAATTTTCAAAATTCTGCATTATTTTCATGCTTCTTTGGATCGTAACTTCAGTTCTTCAGGTAGTCACTCAATCTTCACAATCTTAGGCTTCCTGGAAAGGTTTCCGCGAGAGGAAGAGACTGAGGTTGCATTATGATGACCAGGACATTCGTCCTGCTCCAGCCGTTTCAGTATTCTCGATCGTAGAGTTTCGATTTTTTCACTGTGTACTCTTGAGAGTTCTACCAGTGAAACCCACGCAAAATTCAGTAACTCAGCAAAATGAAAAGTCTCAAACGTTTCATCTTTCGCTCGCACTCCGCGCTTTTCAAGTTGCTGTGATCGCGGCTCAACTAACCAGCGATTAATCTCAGGAACTTGCAGACGCTTTGCAGACGGGTTATACGGAACGCTGAGAGTTTTATCTTCGACCTGAATATTTGGATCGTTGAATTTGAGTGAGGTTTGACTGAGTTACGACATGTTGAAATTTCAAAAATGAATGTCTAGAACTAACTCGGATGGAGAGCCAAGGATTATTCATAAAAAGTAAAAAGGACCAAGGAACTACAAGTTACACTATAATGTTCACTACCAGGTGGTTTGACCGTATTGTCCTATGGTCTTGCCAGTATCGTCATCGACATGCATGAACGTCCGCCAACGTCCTTCACAGCTGAGACTTTCAGCTCGTGCTGATCTTGGTTGCGCGCACCTTCGCCCCCTTATGTTATTTCTATAACTTAGAACCTTCCAAGTTGGAAGGCTGTTGGAGTGCGCATCCAAGATGTGCTAGAGCTGTTAGCCAGTTAGTTGTAGAACGTCAGTACCGTCGGTCAGTGTGGTGCAATGTTATCGCATGAGCTGATTGTCAAGTAACTGGTGGTGTTAGTGGATAATTATAGTGTAACTTGTAGTTCCTTGGTCCTTTTACTTTTTATAAATGTCTGGAACTCTACTCATTCAAGTATGGGGTGGTCTGAAACTGCAATCTGTTAGGGACATGGTTCGTGGTGAAAGCCATTTCGATCACTTTGTTTAGTACTGGAGATAACCGTGAATTACTGAATACGAACTACTTTGTACAGTGCAGCTTCAATCCAAGGATTGACTGTGTCCACATTTTCCCTCAGACTCATGGTGGCCGCAGGGAAGCATTGAGCACATGACAATTTCCAAAGGAAGTTTGTAGAAAACAGTGCCGGTACTTGCATGACATAATGGCAGAACAAACAGGGGAGACTAAAAACATTCCAAAATTCTGTAGCTGTTGTATTGCCAGTGTTTTGGTGGCAGTTATAACACGGCGGCCGTGTATGACGTGCAGCTCGGTTAGCCTCCGCCAGCCGGCCAGCGCAACCTCGACCATGCGCTCGCTTGTATTTGTATGTGTATTAATTCTCCACAGGCCTTAGCCTAAATCGAGAGAGTCTCCGTCAATAGCTTATGAAGAAGAAGCTGAGGAGAAAAATAAAAATAGGAAATAGAATGATGCGGGGTGGTAGTAATATAACACAATGCTCTATGACATCGCTACTCTACGTGGAATGAAACCAGAGGGCTCATAACGGGTGATAGAAGAGTGTGTGAGGACAAGAGCGGTAAAACATTTTGGGCTGGATACAGTAGTCAGTACGAATGGCAGCTGGGAGGGAGTTTCATGTGGCAGTGGTGACAAAGAGAAAGGGGGCACGGGTGTGTGTGTGCTGGCTCTAGCAGGTGGGAGTAGATGTTGGGGGCGCCTGGCACTGTTTGACACTGAGTAGCCTAGGTTCTCCAGGGTCGTCATCTGGCTATTGATAAGGTGGTGGAGCTCAAGAAGGCACTGAATGTGTCTTCGCCATGCGAGGCTGGGCCACTGGAGGTGCGCGAAAAGTGAGGCTTTCGGCTCCGTTTGAGGAGGGTACACGCCATACTGCCGCAGGATCACACGTGCCACTCTTGCCTGTAGCCTTTCAAGGGTAGTAGCCTGAGCACTGGAGAGTTGAAATTGCCAGAGGGATGAGGCGTATTCAACCACAGGTCGAACATATCCAGTGTACAAGCGGCTAGCTACGGCTGGGGTGATACGCTTGGTCATGTGGATCAGCAGGACCGCTCGCTGGCGAGACGTTGTCGTGATGGTGGGTGGCGCCGTGGTCGGTGAAGTCCAGATTAGAGTCCAAGATGACTCCAAGATGTCCATGAGTCGTTACATCAGACATGTCATCTTCCTGCATTCTCAGGTGCGGAGTCGGATGAGTAGGGTGGGCACGTTCTGCACGACTTCTAGGAGAGAACTGCATGGTGCAAGACTTCGAAGGGTTGAAGCACCCTCCGACTGAATCAGCCCACTGCAGAACGCCATCAGTGGCGGCCTGGAGGGGTGAACCATTTGTTGTTGGTTAGGTCCTCCGGCTACTCTCCCAAGAGTAGTGTCATCGGCAAATAAGAGCACATCAGTAGTGACATCAGACGATATAGTGCGAGGAAGGGCATTAATGTAGAGAATGAAAAGAATGGGGCCAAGGTGAGATCCCTGGGGAACGCCTGCAGAAACTGGGTGGGTCGGCGACTTGGCAGAGAGAACTTTGACACAGAAGAAACGGTCTCCGAGGTAGTTGGTGAACCAAGAAACGGCTTCAGGGGATATGATAGTAGCGAGCTGACGGAGAAGAAGTAGTAGCAGTAGTAGTAGAATTTATTATTTTACTAGGGAACTCCCAACAGGCGTTGCCTTTTTACTGGGAACCCTAGACCAGTGCGCGGTACCTTGTCAAACGCTTTCGCGAAATCCAAGAATAGAGCGTGGTAGTCAGTGCGCTTGTCGAGTGCTTTAGCCACTATTGAAGACAGGACAATTAGCTGATCGAGTGTCGACTTTTGGCTGAGGAGGGTGACTCCTTCTCTCCCTCTCTTGGTATATGTCTCTATCGAACCTAGTGGATGGGGGCTTCTTCAGACAGGAAGGAAGCCAATTTAGTTTAGCGACGTTCAATGTACGTGGTCTATCGTCGAAAGTCAAACGTGAAGCGCTCTGTCGTGATTTGGCCAAGTACAAAATTGATGTTTGTGCGGTGCAGGAAACTAAAATTTGCGAAACGAGGCAAGAGTATTGTGGTGGCTATGTTCTTTACACGCTGTCGCCAACCTGTCGTCATTATGGTCTGGCATTTGCAGTAAGAAGCAGCTTGGAGCCGAGAGTCGAGAGAGTTTGGAGCGTTTCTGACCGAGTCGCTGGAATTTCGTTACAATTGGGAAAAAAATCGACATTGAGTATCCTGAATGTGTATGCCCCGACGTCAGCTCGCTGCAGAGACAACAACTTTGAATTGGATGAATTCTACGATACCTTGACCAGAGCTATACATGACGTGGACTCGAGTTCCCTCTTCTTTGTTATTGGAGACTTCAACGCGAAAGCTGGAACGAAGCAGCAGGACGAATCATGTATTGGCAGCCATGGGCGTGGAATCAGAAACGTCAGCGGAGAGACGCTAGTGCAATTCTGTGAAATTAACAGATTATTCTTATCAAACACAGCGTTCTGCCACTCTGCAAGGCACAGGACCACATGGACAGGACAGCGACTTGACAGAGCCAGTGGCAAGATTGTCAACATTTACAACCAAATTGATTATATTCTGTGCCGTCAATCGCAAAAGAGACTATTCACCAACGCCAGAAGTTACAATGGAACGGAAGTCACATCAGATCATAGGATTGTGGTGGCTCGCACGCTTTTACCTCGAGTATTCGGCATATGGGGTCGGGCGGCGCGGAGCAGCCAGAAGAAGGTGGATCGCCTAGCAGTGCATCGTTTACCCGGGAATCCACAACTGCAGAATCAGCTAACATTTGCCATCTCAGACAGAATTCAGAGGGTGTCAGAAGATCAGCCCAACACCGGATGGGATGCAATAGCTGCAGAGATCTTCCACGCTGGCAAAGAGATTGTGGGTGTGACAGCCAAGACCAGTCATCGTCACCATGACCCAGAGATCGAGAGACTTTCCTGCATGCAGAGAGATGTCCGACTCCGTATTCAGGGCAGTGATGACCCAATCGAGCGAGAAATGTTGAGGACTGACCGGAATCGAATCCTGCATGATATCAGGAACAGATCCATCACAAACAGAGAAAATGAACTAATATCGCGAGCAGAGGAGATAGAGAGGCTCAAGGATGGAGCCCAGATGTTCCAAGCTGTACACTTGCTCCGGCGAAAGCCATCGCAGAAAGTCGTCGTTAAGGACAGCCAGGGCAAGATCATATGTAATGATAAGCAAGCAAGCTTGGAGATTAAGAATCATTTCTCATCGCAGCTCAGTGACTCTGCAATTCAGCAATTTGGATCCTTCACTGGGGAACCTCGACCGCTGCAGCATCCCGTTTCAACGGAGGAAGTGAAAACAGCACTAGCAAGACTCAACAACGGTAGAGCTGCAGGACCCGACAACATCCCGGGTGAGCTGTTGAAGTACTCAGCCGATGCCACTGCTCCCGTCATAAGCCGATGCATCAACAGCCTATTTCAGCAACACCGGGTAGAGCCATTCATCGGTCATGGCACACTAATACCTCTCCAGAAGCCCGGAAAGCCGGTGGGTGCTTTAACCAGTCTGCGACCGATCATCCTCCTGACAACTCTACGCAAAGTCATGTCGCTGGTAGTCCTCAAGCGCATCTCGCCAGCCGTAAACGATTTCCTATCACTGAACCAAAGTGGTTTTCGTGCAGGAAGGTCAACAGCTGATGTGGTCTGGTGCCATCGGTGGTTAGCAGCTACGACCCAGCGGTACCACTGGTCATTCAGCATACTGGGCATCGACATGTCACGTGCCTTTGACACGATCAGGCGAGGACAGTTGATGGACGTGGTTCAGCGATTCTTGGAAGAAGACGAGGTACGCTTGATCCGTTACCTGATCTCAGATACGAATTTGGCAGTCAGACTGGGCACGGAAACATCAAGCTCTTTCTCCACTAACATTGGTACCCCGCAAGGTGACTCCTTGTCGCCAATTCTATTCGTGATCTACCTGGAAGCTGCCCTGCAGGATGTGCGACAGCGAATGGCTGCACCTGTGGCCCGGCATCTTCCGTACGATGTGGAGTACGCCGATGATGTGGACTTCATCAGTATCTCTAGTGATTGGCTTCGGATGTTAGAGCCACAGGTTGCCACCATCTTGGGTACATGGTCCCTTACCGTCAACCAGACCAAGACAGAATTCACAGCCATCCAGCGAGAGGCCGATCGTGCTGATGAGCCATGGCGTATGGTCAAGAAACTCGGCTCTCTCCTTGGTGATGCAGAGGATGTCACCCGCAGAAAGCAGCTTGCGGCGATAGCGTTTAAGTCCCTCTGCCAGTTATGGAAGAGAAGAGACCAAGTGAGTCTGGAGGTGCGCGTCCGGCTGTATAACTGCTTCGTGTTACCTGTCTTGCTTTACAACTGCTCCACATGGGGCATCACTCGACAGACAATTGAAGCGCTGGAATCGTATCATCGGCGGCAACTTCGGCATATCTTGGGTATCAGGTGGCCCAACCGACTGTCGAACGATTTGGTTTACGAGCGCTGCAGTGCTGCTCCACTTGGCAACATTCTGGTGAATGCAAGATGGCGGTTGTTCGGCCACATCCTGCGATCAGATGAGCACACACCGGCTAGGGAGGCCATGAGTGGATTCTTTGGCTGCTCCGTGCCGGGATACCGTGGGCGGCCGCGGATCACGCTACCGGTCCTGCTGAATCAAGACGCGGAGCGAGTCGGCTGCCGTCTGAGGACTCCAAGGGACTTGCAGCTGATGGCTCAGCGAGCACTGGATCGCCGTGAATGGACATATCTGTGCAACGCAGTTACAGATGCGTACAAGGCAGAGTACTGGTGAAGGAAGTTGGCACTGCAATGGTTTGAGCTACATTCTTTGTTGTTGGTACTCTGATTATCCGTATTATCCGTATTCACATGGCCTTGCCATTCATTCAGTATATTAATGTCATCAATAATGATATTCTTGTTTGTATTAGTTTATGTGACACCATTTTCTATTTTTCTTTGCCTGCCTGCCTGCTGGCGGCCTTTTTTCGCATGGTTCGATGCAAGCGAATTTGGGCGAGCCCATTGACGCGGGAGCACAAATAATAATAATAATAATAATAAGTGTCGACTTGCAGGAGACAAAGCCATGCTTCAGCTCAACGCCCGCGTTGACGGAGCTCTGGTTGACCAACCAGCCGAACAGCTGCGAGTCGCGACTCCACACTGACAATCGGTGAGCTCTCATCCCTCACTTCCTTCCTCTCTTCACTCCATTTGATTAAACTGCTCCCTCTCCCGAAGGAGAGCGAGGAGAAACGTTGCTTCTCCAAACGTGCTGGGCCTGGCGCGATATGAATTACGTAATGTACGCACTCGGTATGGCAGTCCATGCTTTGCGCTTTCCGAAAACTAAATTTTCGAAAGCCAGGTTTATTCCGCCAGGCCCGAAGGTACCTCGCCAGAGTGTTGAAACTGGCAAATCAGTGAAAGCAATGTCTACATGACTGTATACTATTAGTGCATGCTCCATGGATTGTGCAATGAATAGTGTCTATACATGTAGGTAGGTAGGTACATTTTTATTTTTATTCGCAGAACCAAACGGGCGGTGTCGCCCAATTACATGGAAGCGAATGGAAACAATACAATATTGTAGGAAATAGCCTAACATGATAGCAGGGTGTGGTACAAAACATCTGCATGAAACGACCACGCGCGAACTGGATGCAAAGAGAACACGGTGTAGTATTCTAGGGAGAAGAGTCTGTATGGCAACATCCTCATGTCTCACGACATACTGGTCGAAAGAGAAGTTTGCCTCTGTGAATATCATAACCGTATATGCTGATGACACATTACAGGAGCACGCTTTAATTAATCCGGTCATCTAAGAATGCGAGAACAAGTCATTCATTTGAAGTCCAACATTATCCACCTCCAGTCTCAAATCTTTTCAGCACCAAAAGGCGATACCCACTCATTTAAATAATTGTACGTACATATACCATGGTATATCATTCAATGAACTCACCAGCAGGGCTGCTGAAAAGATGCACCTCATGATGGTCCGCTTAAATATCCTTCCGCTGCTCCTTGATAGCTCAGCCAACTTTCAAGACACACTACAATAGTGCAGAACATGGGCGTATAAAAGGTAGTTGTTCTCGGTGAGTTCCTTGAATTAGTTCGGAGCAGAAGCGGATACTATCATACGGTATGCCTGGGGACTTCGCTCTCCAATGTATCCATCGACGTTTGTGATCCTGCACTACTGGGGCAGTGCCATTTATCTTGCCTCATAATCTGCACGTAACGGGTAGCACCTGTTATGCACTTGTTCGTGATGGAGATGCGCTGCTTATCCTAGAGGTTCACGAGCGGGAATAACAAAGACCATCGCGACTCAACATCTGTCCGCACACGCACTCTGTGCATGGCATGGTCGTCAAAAATAGCCCTTGCGGCTTTTTGGCCGTCAATCCTTATCTGTTTATACCTGTCGTACAGGTATGTTATGTTACGTTATGTTATGTTACGTTATGTTATGTTACGTTACGTTATGTTATGTTACGTTATGTTATGTTACGTTACGCATATCGCGTGAGCTGCGACAACCGTTACTTGGAGGCGTGTCGCTGGTGTGGATGTTGGCCAGCGAACGCATGTTGTTGAGTTTGAACTCAACTAAGGTTGTTCTGCACGAAAGGACCATTGCATTCATTGCCTTGTGAATAGTGTATCCGTAGCCCTATCGATCTCTGTATGGGTAGCTGAGCAGATTTTCTACGGAATTCGCTATAGGCAAAGTACACTGAAGAAGCCAATGATGGTCTTTCAGCGAACAGCTTGCAGATACCAACTCTAGAGGAATTGGTGGGGTGGGTGGGTGAGACACACCGGAACCAAGTTCTGCCGACCATAATGGCCTCGGTATCACTGCTGGATACGCGGGATGGTGTAGGATATAGACATGTTCATCCATTCAAATGGGAGCGGTTTTTCCAGCCGTGCTGCTACCCACAGTGAAAACTGGGAACTTGTGGCCAGGCACAAGGGGTACATGGATGCAGCTAATGTGGTTTCTCGGCAATTGTGCCAGTGGTTGTGAGACTTATCCACTCACCCCCACCGTTAGACGCTGCATCTGCCGCAAGGGTTTACAGGGTGTTAGCGGCCGTCGTGAGTTCCCTTCGGGAATGGACACGATAATTTACCTTTTTACTTCCTTTAAAAAAAACTTTTTATCCATTCAAATCGCTTGGGCCGATGACGAAGGGAATGAATGCTGTACTGCCGTACTTATTGACGCGCAAGACGCTTGATTTTTCCGGTGGACACCAAGGATAACTTCCCATCCGACACCGTAGGTGAATTATTTACATTGGTACCATGGAAGGGCTTTGGAAAGAGGAAGACAGATCCCAGCTTCCAACTTCAGCATTCTTGGAGCGATGGATATGCTAGCGCTTGTTGCATCACGATTCATGATCACGATCTGCCTGTCTGTATCGTTGTTGGCTGACAACCATAGAGAACCGCAGACAAGCGCCACGGCATTTGTCACGTTCTGTATTTCCTTTGACCTCCTGGTGGCGTGCCTTAGACGTTGGAATAATGGTCTAGAGCGGGATTTATTTAGAAACTCTCAACAGTGAATTGATCAACGTGAGCCTCCCGCGACGTTGGCGGTTTCTGCGTTAGCGATTTATATTTTAATTAAAGGTTTTGTTAGGAAGGGGTTTGCTCCTCACACTGGAGCTCGCGCTTTTCCGCCGACGTGACTTGGCACTTGACGGAACTCACGACTGCCATTCAGAGCACGCGAGAAGTCCATCGAACCTTCGACTGGGCAAACCTGCAAGAAACCATAGCTCCCTGCTCAATACACAGTGTTTCAGTGAATTCACCCCTCATCAGTTGAGCTTGAGTAGGCTGAGCAAGATTGTACCCGAAGAGCACCACTTATATACATGTAGTGCTCTCCATGTACAAACATCACCACGGATACAAACGTGCAGAGACACTCCGTTTCCAGCGCGACAAACACCTCGTGAACACCAGATAGCAGCGTGAGTCAGTGTAGCCTCTGGACTGGTGAGAACAGACGTCGAGGGTTTGCTCCCCACACTGGAGCTCGAGCTTTTTTTCGGCCGACTTGACTTGACACTTCACTATAAACTCACGACTGCCATCCAGAGCACAAGAAAAGCTCATCCAAGTCGTGAGTGCAGTCAATTGTCAAATCAAGTCGGAGGAAAAGCGCGCGCTCCGTCCGGTGTGGGGAGCAAACCCTTTTCTAGCAAAATCGACACCGAAGAAGCTACCACATTATTTTTTTTTAAGTGTTTATTTCATGTACTGTAATTTCACAAATTTTCGGTGTACTTTTATTTTCGGTACTTTCGGTGCATCTGTTTCATACCTAAAATTTCAATACACCGAACAAACACTAACACACATAATCCAATAGGGAACTAATTCTCCGTACCGAAAATTTCTGTTCACCTAACCAAGCCTTTTGCTTTCATACCGAAAATATTGAGCACCGAAAATTTCTGAAATTAGAGTATTCAGGTGTTCCTATGTAGGTTTTGTGACCGGCCTCCTCCGGTTTTCGCAACTGCTCAAATTGTATTGAAATTAATACTTGTACCGGTTAACCGAAAAATAGTGCCAGTATTATTATTATTAAAATAATATTATACAAGGGCATCGCGATTCAAGATCTGTCCTTGCACGCACTCTGCGCATGGTACGTGCATCAAAAATGGACCTTTTGGCTTTTCTAGCTGTCTCATGGAAATACAATGCAAGGCCAAAATGTTACATGTTATCCGTACTTTGTGTCCAACACTAACAGTTATAGGCATGATGTTGTGTAGTCAGAAGGTGCAACAGCTAGCACAATCCAGACTGAAGTGATACTGACATTCAACGATCTGATGATAAGCTCTATGACTGACAGTGAGCTAGCAAAGGATGAGGTCCCTGAAGCACAGCAACAATGCACCGCTAGGGAACTACTGGCGTGGACATTGATATCCGGCTCGAATGACCGGACCCGGCGTCGTCAGTGCGTACGGAACGTTGCATGCACACCGGTGACACCGCACATGTTGATCGTACGCGAACTCACGGCTGCATGGCCAGCGCCCTGAGGCCGCTTGTTCTCCAACTGGATTTCCACGTCCACGACAGTACTGAGAAGTGATGGTTGTGTGGTCAGAGCATCGCTGGCCTCAACGGAACGTCCCTGGTTCAACTCCTAGCGGTGACAGACAATTTTGTCTCATAACATCGACAGGTGTCAAGTTGTGTCAAGTTGTCAACTTCCCGCCAGAGGCAGCATGCAGTGTACTACTACTAGTACTAGTGTGTTTGACACGACAAGCTGTAACTAACTACTTGGAAGTAGTAATAGTATTACATGTACATGTACTTGTGGCGGAGTAATGTTACGTTAGTCGTGTGAATGAGACGCTGTATCAGTTCTGCACACGGTAATCGCTGCTGCACCGGCAACATTGCTGGTCACATCTACAAAACGTATCGAAAAGGCCTGCACACCGATCGGTCCATTCTTTGTCATTGTGATTCACGACCAGTTTGTGATCATAAACGTCTCTAGTAGCGCTTTTTTGTTCTGTATTCTTTGAACCAAGCGATGCTCTAACAACTGAGCTATGGTGTAGTCGTCACCCAAGCAGAGACCGTTCAACGTTTTCTTCAGACTTCGTAACTCACACTTTCTGTGAATCCACACAGGCGGGTGGGACGCAATAACGCAGCCCTCACTGTACCCACACACTTCACGTACAAACTAGCACGTGAGGAGCCCCAAGTCATAAAATATTTTAAACTGGTTTTGAGGGAAAGAGACAAACGGGAAAAGTCTGAAGAAAAAATTGACTGTCACCACCAGGACTCGAACCAGGGACCCTCGCTTGTAGCCAGAGATGCTCTAACAACTGAGCATGGTGTAGTCGTCATCCAAGCAGAGACCGTTCAACGTTTTCTTCAGACTTCGTAACTCACACTTTCTGTGAATCCACACAGGCGGGTGGGACGCAGTCACGCAGCCCTCACTGTACCCACACACTTCACGTACAAACTAGCACGTGAGGAGCCCCAAGTCATAAAATATTAACTGGTTTTGAGGGAAAGAGACAAACGGGAAAAGTCTGAAGAAAAAATTGACTGTCACCACCAGGACTCGAACCAGGGACCCTCGCTTGTAGCCAGAGATGCTCTAACAACTGAGCATGGTGTAGTCGTCATCCAAGCAGAGACCGTTCAATACTTCAGACTTCATAACTCACACTTCGTGTGTGTTTGTGTGTGTGTGTGTGTGTGTGTGTGTTTTGAGTAAGCTGCCCAAGGAGGCAGTTTGAAATTTTTCTGCTCCTGACTTTTTCTTGTTTTTCGAGTACTTTTGGGCGAAAGAGAGGCCTGGAGCGACCCCTTGAGGGTTGTCTCCAGGGCCAGTACGTAGACAGTGAGCTGCCGACGACGGGAGCCACGTAGCAGGAGGACGAGGCGAGTTTTTTTGATACCGCCACCTCTTGCTGCGCCCGAAGTCGCCACTCGCGGTGGTGTGACGAGCCCCCGAGTGGAATATCTCCATCCAGCTCCGAAAAGCTATGAAGTACGTCAAGGAGAGGGAGAAGAGTGGGAGAGAGGGACGGCGCTGCTTGACGTTTGGGTCGTGGAATGTTCGCTCCCTTGTGGAAAGGAGTGGCGGCGTAGCTACGGCGAGCGTTTCTGGCCGAGTAGCAGAGGACAAGAAATGTCGTCGTGTTGCTGCCGAGCTGCACAGGTTGAGCGTGGCGGCGGCTGGATTGCAGGAGACACACTGGTTCGGCGATGACATTTATGTCGTCACACAGTGACGGTTTTACTATCTTGTGTTCGGGTCGCCCCGTGCCTGGCGATGGAGCTCCGGGCAACAGACGAGGAGAAGGAGTCGCCCTGGCACTCAATAAATTTGCAACAGACGCGTGGAAGAATGGTGGTTCGGTCTGGCGGGCTGTGGGCCCTCGTCTTGTCACTGCACGTCTCAAATTCGCCCTGCGTGGGGGAGAAGTCGCATGGGTGACGGTAGTCAGTGCGTATGCTCCGACTTATGCAGCTCCGCGTGCCAGCAAAAATCAGTTTTACGAACAGTTGCAGGAGGTAATAGCTGGCGTTCCTGACAGGGACTGCTGTATTCTGCTTGGAGACTTCAACGCCCGTGTGGGTTCAGGA